TTCAAAGAAACTCGAAATAACACAGAGAAGGAATTTAGAATTCTATCATATAAATTTAACAAAATGACTGAAATAATTAAAAAGAATCAAGCAGAAATTCTGGAGCTGAAAAGTGCAATAGGCATACAGAAGAATGCACCATAGTCTTTTAATAGCAAAATTGATCAAGTAGAAGAAAGCATGAGTAAGCTTGAAGACAGGCTGATTGAAAATACACAGAGAAGACAAAAGAAAAAATAATAAAAACAATGAAGCATAGCATCTAGAAAGTCATCTCAAAAGGGCAAATGTAAGAGTTTTTCACCTCCAAGAGGAGGTAGAGAAAGAGATGGGATTAGAAAGGTTATTCAAAGGGACAATAAAAACAAACTTCCCAAACATAGAGAAAGATAGCAATTTTAACTACAGGAGGGTTATAGAACATCAAACAGATTTAATCCAAAGAAAACTACCTGAGGCATTTAATAATCAAATTCCCAAAAGTCAAAGATTGCAAAAAAAAAAAGGATCCTAAAAGCAGCAACAGAAAAGAAACAAGTAACATACAATGGAGCTTCACTATGTCTGACAGCAGACTTTCAGTAGAAACCTTACAGGCCAGGAGACAGGGGCATGACATATTTAAAATGCTGAAGAAAAAAAATCACTTTACCCTAGAGTTATACATCCAGTGAAAATACCCTTCAAACATGAAGATAAAATAAAGAATTTTCCATACAAATAGAAGCTGAAAAATTTCATCAACATCAGACTTGTCCTACAAGAAATGCTAAAGGGAGTACTTCAATTGGAAAGAAGACATTAATGAGTAATAAATAATCACCTGATGATACAAAACTCACTGGTAATAGTAAGTAAACAGGAAAACACAGAATACTATAATTTTGTAACTATGGCGTGTAAACTAATCTTATGTAGAAAGACAATAATAAACCAATCAAAATAATAACTACAGCTTTTCAAGACATTGTCAGTAAAACAAGATATAAATAGCAAAAATAAAAATTTAAAAAGCAGGGAGTTGAAGTTAAGGCATGAAGTTTATTAGTTTTCTTGATTGTTTATGCAAGCACTGTTAAGTTGTTATCGGGTTAAAAGAATGGGTTGTAAAATAGTACTTGTAAGCCTCATGATAACCTCAAACCAAAAAAGCATACAATGGGTACACAAATAACAAAAAGCAAAAATTAAATCATATCTTCAGAGAAAATTACCTTCACTAGAGAAAGACCAGAAGGAAAGGAATAAGGAAGAAAATGACATGAAAGAACCAGAAAACAAGTAACAAAATGGCAAGCGTAAGTCCCTACTTATAAACAATAACACTGAATGTAAATGAACTAACCTTGTGAATCAAAAGACACAGACTGGCTGAATGGTTGAAAAAACAAGACCCATTGATCTGTTGCCACAAGAAACACACTTCATGTATAAAGACACACAGAAAGTGAAAATAAAGAGATGGAAAAAAATATTTTATGCCAATGGAAACCAAAATAAAAAACAAAAATGGTCACTATAATTATATTAGACAAAATAGATTTCAAAAGAAAAACTTAATGAAGAGACAAAGAAGGTCACTATACAATGATAAATGGGTCAATCCAGAAGATATAACAATTGTAAATATATATGCACCAACACTGGAGTACCCAGATATATAAAGAAAAAATTGTTAGAACTAAAGAGAGAGATAGGCCCTGATACACTAATAGCTGGAGGCTCCAACACCACATTTCAGCATTGGATGCATCTTCCTGACAGAAAATCAACAAAGAAACATTAGACTTAATCTCTATAGATCAAAAGGTTCAAATAAATATTTACGGAACTTTTCATCCAAAAGCTTCAGAATGCACATTTTTTCCTCAGCATGGATTATTCTCAAGAATAGACTACATGTTATCACAAAACAAATCTCAAACCATTCAAAACATTGAAATAATATCAAGCATTTTTTTATCATAATGGAATAAAACTAGAAATTAATGAGAATTTTGGAAGCTCTACACATACATGGAAATTAAATAATATATTATTTAATGACCAGTGGGTAAATGAAAAGAAGGAAATTGAAAAAAATTTTAAACAAATGATAATGTAAAGACAATATACCAAAACAGCAGTACTAAGAAGGAAGTTTATAGCTATAACTGCCTACATCAAAAAAGAGGAAAAATTTTAAATAGACAATATACAATGCATCTCATAGAACTAGAAAAGCAAGAGCAAATCAAAACCAAAATAAATAGAAGAAAGGAAATAATAAAGATCAAAGTAGAAATAAATAAAAATGAAGTAAAAAATACAAAAGATCAGTGAAACAAAAAGTTGATTTTTTTTTGAAAAGTAAAGAAATGGGCAAACCTTTGGCCAGACTAAGAAGAAAAAAGACTATTTGAATAAATAAAGTCGGTAATGAAAAATGAGACATTATAATTGATAATGCAGAAATCCAAAAAATTATTAGTGGCTACTGTGCGTAACTATGTGCCAATAAATTGGAAACTCAAGAATAACTGAACAAATTCCTAGATATATACAATCTACCAAGGTTGAACAAGAAAGAAATTCAAATCCTGAACAGACAAATAAAAAGTAACAAGATAGAAGCCACAATAAAAAGTATCCCAGAAAGAAAAGCTTGAGACCTGATGGCTTCACTGCTGAATTTTATCAAACATTTGAAGAAGAATTAATACTAATCCTACTTAAACCATTCAAAAACGTAGAGGAGGAAGGAATACTTCCAAACTCATTTTATGAGGTATTACCTTGAAACCAAATCCAAGCAAAGGCACATTTCAAAAAGGAAACTATAGGCCAATATCTCTGATAAATACTGATGTAAAAATCCTCAACAAATACTAGCAAACAAAATTCAACAATAAATTACAAATGTCATACATCATAATTAAATGGAATTCATCCTGGGGATGCAAGGATGGTTCAGTATGTACAAATCAATCAATGTCATACATTATGTGAATATAATGAAGGATAAAAATTATATGGTAAAATGTAAAACAATTTTTAGTAATGCTGAAAAGACATGTCATAAAAGTCAATACCCCTTTAGGTTAAAAGCCCTCAAAAATTGGTGGAAGCAATATACCTCAACATAAAAACAGTGATATATATATATATATATATATATATATATATATATATATATGTCAAACTCACAATTAGTATTATACTGAAGGAGGAAAAGCTGAAAGCCTTTCCTCTAAGATCTGGAACATGACAAGGATACCCAATTATACCAGTGTTTTTAAACGTAGTACTAGGAGCTCAAGCTAGAGCAATCAGACAAGAGAAAGATATAAAGAACATCTGAACTGGAAAGAAGAAGTCAAATTATTCCTGTTGGCAAATGATATAATCTTTTATTTGGAAAAACCTAAAGACCTCAGAGAAAAACTATTAGAAATGATAAACAAATTTAGTAAAGTTGCAAGATACAAACTCAAAATACAAAAATATATATGCCAACAGTGAACAAACTGAAAAAAATCAAATTAATCCCATTTACAATAGCCACACATAAAATTAAAAACCTAATAATTAACTTAACATCAAGGAAGTAAAAGATCTCTATAATGAAAATCATAAAACACTGATAAAAGAAATTGAAGAAGACACTACAAAATCAGAAAGCATCCTCTGTTTATGCATTGAAAGAATCAATTGTTAAAATGTCTACACTTCCCAAAGCAATCTACAGAGTCAATGTAATCCTAACCAAATACCAAGGAAATTCTTCACCGAATTAGAAGAGAAAGCTAAAATTTTTATTAAACCACTAAAGACCCAGAATAGCTAAATCTATTCTTAGCAAAAAGAATAAAACTGAAGGAATCACATTACCTGACTTCAAATTATACTAAAGTGGTACTAGCATAAAAAAAGACACATAGATTAATAAAAGAGAATAAAGAATCCAGAAACAATTGCATACATCTACAGTTAATCCATTTTCCACAAAGATGCCCAGCACATGTACTTGAGCAAAAATAATCTCCTCAATAAGAGGTGCAGGAAAAACTAAATATCCACATGCAGAAGAATGAATCTAGACTCCTATCTATTATGTATATACAATAATCAAATCAAAATAGGTTAAAGACTTAAATCTAAGACCTCAAACTATAAATATATTAAAATAAAACATTGTGGAAAGTCTCCAGGACATCAGAGTGTGCAATGATTTCTTAATACCCAAAAATCATAGGCAACCAACGCAAAAATGGAAAAATGGGATCACATCAATTTAAAAAGTGTGTGCACAGCAAAGGAAACAAGAAAGTGAAGACAGAACCTACTGAATGGGAGAGAATATTTGCAAACTTTCCATATGACAAGGGATTAATAGCCAGCATATGTAATGAGCTGAAAAACTAGGAAAACAATCTCAAAATCTTATTAAAATGGGCAAAAAATCTGAATAGACATTTCTCAAAAGAAGATGTACAATTATCAAACAGGCATATGAAAAGGTGCTCAACATCATTGATCATCAGAGAAATGCAGGTTAAACTACAATGAGCTATCATCTCAACCCAGTAAAATGGCTTATATTTAAAAGACAGGCAATAACAAATGCTGGCAAGGGTATGGATAAAAATAAATTCTCATATACTGTTGGTGGAAATGTAAATTAGTACAACCACCATGGAAAACAGTTTGAAGGTTCCTTAACAAACTAAAAATAGAACTACCATATGATCCAGCAATCCCACTTGTGGGCATACACCCAACAGAAAAGAAATGCGTATTTCAAAGAGATATTTGCGCTCCCATGTTTATTGCAGCACCATTTACAATAGCTAAATTTAAAAGCAACCTAAGTGTCCATCGACAGATGAATAAAGAAAATGTGGTAAATATACACAATGGAGTATAATTCAGTCATTTAAAAAAAATGAGATCTAGTCATTTGCAACAGCATGGATGGAACTGGAGATTTTTTTTTTTTTTCAAATAGGACTTTTTATTTTTTTATTTTATTTTATTTTTTAAAATAAAGATGGGCTTTCACCATGATAACCAGGCTGGTTCTGAACTCCCGACCTCAGGTGATCCACCCACCTCAGCCTCCCAAAGTGCTAGGATTACAGGCGTGAGCCACCACGCCCGGCCACAAATAAGACATTTTATTTGCCACACATTTTATTTGCCACTATTATAAGTCTGAATTTTAAACAGATTCTTGGACTGGTGGTTCATATCCATCAGCTCGTTCAGCTTTAGCACCTGTCTCATCCCCAGTGGCTTTTCCAGAACTACTGCCTTCACCATGAAGCTCCATGAGTTTTCCCAATTCAAACTTGGGCTTCTTCAGCATTTTTACTTTTCTAACAAAGACATCATGGAGAGGATAAATAGATTGGCAAGCCTTTTCTATGTCTTTCCCAATGCTGTCTGGAATCAATTTATTGACCACTTCTTTCAAGTCATTTGTCTGCACCTCTCGGGTCATGATTTCCATCACCTTCTTCTGGATTTGGCTGACCTGTTGGTGCTGAGCATAAGAGGTCTTCCGTATCTGATTGTTGCGTTTTTTAGTAAAACCAACACAGAATAGACGAAGCAAGTAACCATCGGTAGTCTTGACATCAACATGAGCTTCAATCATTGTCTGCCATTTTTTGACCATGGAACACATTTTGTCACGGGTAAGATCCATGCCATGGAAGTTAGTCAGGCAGTTTTTGCCCTGAACATCTTCAGTAACCAGCTTGAATTTTCTAAATGCAACTTCATCATTCTGCAAATCAGCAAGACTAACTTCAAACACTCGACCCTTGAGGCCATCAGATGCAATTTTGGTTCCTTGGGTCCTGGTGACTAGCGTCTTTCCAATATTTCTTATATTGAACATAGCAGGTGCTTTCACATCATACCAATCTTTCTTAGAAAATGGATCAACCACTTTCTTCTTGGCTCCCTTTTTACCGCCTTTCGTAAGGCACTTGTTCTTGCCAACCGCCATGGTGCTGCTCAGAGAGCCAAAAGGGCGGAACTGGAGATTGTTAAGTGAAACAAGCCAGGCATAGAAAAAGCATCACTGCATGTTCTCACTTATTTGTGAGATCTTAAAATCAAATCACTTTAACTCATAGACATAGAGAGTAGAAGGATGGTTGTCAGAGGCTGGGCAAAGTAGCAATGGGCTGGTGAAGTAAGTGGGGATGGCTAACAGGTCCAAAAAATGATTATAAAGAATGAATAAAACCTACTGTTTGATAGTACAATAGGGTGACTATAGTCAATAATAACTCAATTGTCCATCTTAACATAACTTAAAGAGTGTAACTGGATTGTTGGTAACTCAAAGGATAGATGCTTAAGGGGATAGATATCCCATTCCCCATGATGTGTTTATTTCATATTACATGCCTATTATCAAAATATTACATGTACCCCATAAATATATACCCACTATGTACCCATAAACATTTAAAAAATGAAAAAGAAAAAAAGTGTAAATAAATAAATATCTGAGCTCTTGGAAAAATTATAGATTTATGCTCAGTCCAGAGCATGAATAAATGAAGAGGAAAAAATATAAAAAGAGTAATGATATAAGGAAAAATAAGATCACCTGGCTCCTTCCCACCTTCTGTGGTATATTTCATACTTATAACCCCCAATGGTTCATGTCTTGCAGTATTCTAATCTTCATGACATCTCCCACCCTGATCTTACATCTGACTATGTGATTTATTTGCTGTTTAGGACGTCAGCAAATGTGATGCAAGCAGAAGCATGTTATATACTTGGGAATTAGGGCTTACTCTCTTAGAATACTGACACTACTATGTAAAGCAACTCTGATTAGGGATACATAGCAGCCAAGAGCCAGGGACCAACCATCAGATATGTGAGTAAGACCATCTTAGGTCACTGGCTCCAATCAAGCCACCAGTTGATTGCAGCCTACACACTATAAACAGAAAACCATTTAGCTGAGCCCAACCCAAACTGCAGAATTGTGACCAAACAAATGGTTGCTGCTTCCAGATATTAATTGTGCATAATGGATAACAATAGACAACTGAAACACCTACCCAACTTTACCTTCTACCATTTTCCCTTTCCTCACTTTATCTTTGCCTAAGGTTTTCTTGCTCTTCACTGAACATGACAGCACATTTTGTCTCAAATTCTGTAACTTGGTGTTATCTCTATCTGGGACGCCTGGATCCTTACATGATTCACTTTTTGCATTCAACAGTAATCAAAGGCCACCTATTAAAAGAAGCTTAACTCATCACCACATCTAATATTACCATATGTTTCCTCTCCATTTTCTTTTTCAGTTTATTTTTCTTGAGAACTTCTTTTGAAAGCATAGGATGTATTCCTTGGATTTCTCATTCATTTTTTGTCTCCTCCACTGAAAGTTCCAGGAGGAAAAAGTTCATTTCTCTGTTGTTTACCACTCTATTGTCTATGGCTAGAATGATTCTGGCATATGATAGGCCCCTCAGTGATGTCCTTTAAATTCATTAATAAATACATAAAATATTATTTAGAGTCTTTGGCAGAACCAAAGGGAAGGAGAAATCTATATTCAGAACAAAGACAAAAAAATTCTTAATTGGGAAATACATTTCTAATAATTTTTATGTAAGTGCAGGCAAATTGTTTTTATTGTCTTCTAGTTTACCTTTTGATTTTTTAATTAACATATTAGTTTTTTAACCCCTTGGTCAGTGCAGAGCCTTTACAGTGAATTTATAATACTTAATTTAATTCTAGTGGAATATTTGGTTGTTATAATATACAGATAAAATTTTTAATAAGCTAAAACTACTATTTTAAATCTATTTTTTAAATCAGTTACATATGCACAAGCCTTTGCTCTCCTGAAAGAACATGAACTAGTAATCTTCAGGAATATGTTATAAACATCAAACCACTTGTGGATTCACAGCTCTTTAACTTTAATGTGAACAACAGGCTAACAGTATTTTTGCCTGGATTTTAAAAGCCTAACAGACTATCGCAGAAAAAGTTAAGGAAAAGGAATTTGGGGGTTTCAAGACAGACTGGCAATTGTTACCTGCTCTGTCTCAAGCCCTTTAAATTGTTCATGTCCATCAATACAAATTTATCCTCTATACACATAAATGACCAGCCAAAGTCATTGACACTGTCACTTACTTTTAAGCTGCCTTTTGTTCAAACTTTCTAATTTACTTATTCTTATATCTTTACTGGCTCTTTGCATCTTGATATCTACCTTGTGTTGCCCTGGTGCCTCTAACAGTCTTCTGCCTTGATCATTATCTAGCAGTCTCTCTCTGTCTGTCTGTCTGTCTCTCTCTCTCTCTCTCTCTCTCTCTCACACACACACACACACACACACCCTACACACACATTTCTCTCTTTCTCTGTGACACAAGCTCAGACATAATTTTGATGCTTCCCTTACTTATACAGGCACTAGGATTGTAACCAAAAGGAAGCCCCATCTTTGATTTTAATTTCTTAGAACACAGAGCCATCAGGGTAATTTTGCCCATTTTTTTTCCCTGTAGGATGCAGTGGATTACAACAGAGAAGTGGTTAATGGGCAGATAGGGAGAAAGGAGATCATGAAGCCCTTGAAAACAAAAACTAAAGAAAGTTAAAGAAACATCTGTGTATGTGATACACACACATATATTTGTACACCTAAGATGTATATGTGTGCATACATTTATTGATCCATATTGCTACACAAATAAATATGAGTTGAATTTTATTTCAGATTTTTATGTCTGTTCTTACCATTCTACCTTGTCTTTATAAATCACGGCCCCCAGTAAAGGGTGAAATAAATCTGTACAGCATTCATGGTGACCAGTATAAATGGTGTATATGTGAGTGTTGTGGCAAATACAGTGACTTTTTTCTCAAAACAGAGCAGTGGTTACAGGTGAGCTCAAGTTAATGTCATCCCTACTGACTTATTTGTCAAAGACAACATATAAGGAGTAATTTGGTCTCCATGAGACCTCCTCTGAAGACCTGAAGTACTGTTTTCAATCTTACCAGCATGTATTTTATGGGCATTGACTGATTTATACATGGCATTCAGCATAACATACAAATACTAGAAAATATACCAGGAAAAAGATCATATGATATGAGCTCAGTCCAATTATTGGTTCACAAACCTGTAGGCAAATTGCAGTCTGTCATTCCCACAAAATTGAATCTCAGCTTGAGCAAATGAGTTTTATGCTTTTACAATACCATTGAGGGATGTGACAGAAGTGTTACAAGATCCATGTTTAAGGGCATGGACTTCTAAATTCAATAGAAAAAAAGGAAGCATTTTTAGGAACAGATAAGAAGAAACATTTGACATGCTATCAAAGTAGAAAGTAATATTTCTCTTCTAAAGTATAGAGCAGTGGAAAGAATAAAAGAAGGTAATAGAATATGTAATCTTTTTAAGGAATATTTCCAACAGAAGCAGTTAAATATGAACAAATATTTGATATTCAGAAATTCAGTTATCTAGAACTGAAGAAAGGAAACATCATTGTGACTTGTCATGATTTTATTCTAAGTGGAAAAATGACAGCATGAACTATACTATAGTTCAACACATTATTACATATTTTATTATAAATCAATTCAAGTACATTTACCATTTACTCACCTTCCTCCCTGTATTAACATCCATCCCTCAACAGCCCCCATATACACACTCAGCTTTCTTGTTTTCCTAACCTTTCCCCATTTCTTGCTTTTTCTCACTTTTCAGTGCTGTACAGTTTGCAAAGTCATTTTCCTTCTTCCTCTGAATTTGATCACCTTTGTAGAAATAATAATAACTACCACTTATGGAACACTTACCAGGTGCTCAGAGTTTTTCATAGAGTGGCCCATTTGATGTTTACTGCAACATCATGAGGTGAATGCTTTATTATATTCATTTTATACATAAGAAAAATAAGGCTTAGAAGGACTAAATAACTTGCCTAAAGCAGTACAGCGACTAAGTTGCAGAACTGAGATTTGAACCTGTGTCTGTCAAATTCCAAAGCCCCTGGTCTTTACCACCGTGCTTTAAAGACTATCCTCTTGCTATACTGTGGCATTGAATTAAATCAAACTAAGATATATTTACTAAGCACATATTAAGTCCAAGGTGTCATTCTAGCATCTGAAGCAAAAGTGGCATGAGCAAGAACAATTACCTTGTGTCCATCAAGGTCTAGTCAGGAGATAGAAATCATGTAAGTTACTTTAAGAAGGAAAAATGTTATATGCAGAACAATTAACTAGCTATGATAGTTTTCCCTTACATGTGGGGAATACATTTTAAGATCCCTAGCGGATTCCTGAAACCACAGAGAATACCACATATACTGTGTTTTCTCCTATATGTAAATACCTATGATAAATATTATAAATCAGACACAGTAAAAGATTGATAACAATAATAAAATGGAATAATTATAACAATATATTGTAATAAAAGTTACATGAATGTTTTCTCTCTAAATATCTTATTGTACTGTACTTACCCTTTTTGGATGATGTGAGATAATACAATTCCTAAATGATAAGATAAAGTAAGGTGAATAATATAGGCACTGTGATGTAACATGAGGCTACTATTGACCTTGGAAAATACACTAGAAGATGAATCAGCTTCTGGATCATCAACAAGCCAAGTAAGGTTGATGGTTGGAAGTTTGGAGCAGATGATATCAGTGACCAATGGGCCAGTAGCACTCATATGCTAGACAAACAGATGATTCACATTCCAGATGGGAGAAAGCACAAGATTTATGTTTTCCAGAATGGCACACAACTTAAAACTTATGAATTGTTTGTTTCTGGAATTTTTTCATGTAATATCTTAGGAACATGATTGACCATAGGTAACTGAAACCATGGAAAACAAAAGCACAGAAAGGGAAGACTAGTGTATTAAAAAAAATTGAATTTGAGCTCCTGTAGGGAGGGAGCACCCAGCACTGGGGCTCACAAAAAAAAAAAACAAACCTGAAAAG